TTGCAAGACCTGAGCTGGCTAGTTGAGGACAGGGCATTTTGGAGATGGCTCATTCGTAGGTCACCCTAAGTCAGAGGCGACGTGACAGTGCACAACAATTGCAAGATTAGAACTGTTGCAGGATTCAAATGTGATAGGAAACGGAAGAAAACGGGGAAAGAACAAAATGAGGGTGGAGAAGAAAAAAAGACTGTTTCTTAAGAGAAAGAAATAAGATTCTTGGGTTGTTTTTTCCCAATTCCTGCCTGCGGGTTAATTAATGAGCTGGCAAGTTAAAAGGGAGATGGAAATTATTCGTGGCACAGAAGGCTTTTTTTTAAAAAAAATTATTTATTTATTTAAAATATTTTCATCCTGCCTTTTTCCTTGAAAATGATCCAAGGCAGTGTGCAGCACTGAAATACAATATTTAAAGTCGAAAACAATGTATTCAAAAGCGGCCAACGGCCATAAAAGACAATATTTTGTGCTATTAACCCTGAGTACAAAGAGGCACCGTACATCATTAAAAGGCAACATTAAAGCTAAGAACAAGATGCACACAAACAGTAGAAAAGAAAGGGGGAGAAAAGAAAATGTCACTCTGAGAAATGGAAATGGAGAAGGTCAATTCGTCTTCAATCTCTTTCCCGTCATCGGAAGGAAGTGTCTAGATTAGGACGGATCAAAGCTTGGGCTCCCACAGTGAGTGTCCACCTCCACCTTGCCTACCTCTCTCTCCCCTGCTCTGCTCGAATATTCCAATGCCACCATTGGCAATGAGGAAGGGGCAGGTCTCCTCAGAGGCAGCTGCCATCGGGCTCTGCTAGCTAATCCCAGAGCAGGGGAAAAAAAGAGGGGACCTCAGCCTGGGAATTCCAGAGATGAACTGGATGGTCTTATCGCAGTTTGCAGATCTGACCTCTGAACGGTTTCCATGATCAGTCAGGTGGCTAAAGTCTCCTGCTCGAGATGAAATGAGGCTCTGAGCCATGGAGTCTCGTTTTCGAGATGGGCTGTCGGAGGGGGAGGGGGATCGGGTACCTCTTTCCTTGCACGGCCTGTTCAGATTGGCGGCTGCTCTCCAGGGTCTCAGGACAGGATCTCATCCCTCACCTGTCAGGACCTCGCTTTAACTGGAGTTGGCAGGCGTTACACCTGGGGCATTTCAAAGTGCAAGGCCAGTTTCGAATCAGTAAGTTATGCCCCTTGCTCTGTTCCCTTATAAATCAAATCATGGCGGGGTGTGTGTGTCCACTTTTGCTTCTGGGTATCTTAATCAAAGCTAGGAATATGAATTGTGACTTGGAGTACTAAATGAGAATGAGGTATGGGGACTCCTTACTATTAGATGTTGTTTCTGTCAGTCTCAGAGAGAAATGGAACAATCTTTTAAAATTCTGCACAGGTGCTGTTTTCTGGACATGGAGAAACTTAGACATATGATCATGGCTTGTTTCGTGGACCATTAAAAAAAAGAGAAGCCCTGAATGGGTTGTTTGAGTCTTTGTGACTCATAAACCTGTCCTTTCATTCTCTCTCTCTATCTATCTCTCTCTCTGTGCCTAATGTCATAAGAGGAAAACACACTCATGATATTCTGTGCAAATATCTCTCTCTCTGTGCCTAATGTCATAAGAGGAAAACACACCCATGATATTCTGTGAAAATACGACAACACACACACACACACACAAAGAGGTGCTTCATGTCTTGCACTGCTGGTGTGATTTTATGCTGTGATATGTGCCGTTCAATAGGCTGTTTTGCTATGTTGAAACAGTCTGCCTCGACCATGAATGAGACGCATCTGAAATTTTATGTGCCTAATGTCATAAGAGGAAAACACACCCATGATATTCTGTGAAAATACGACAACACACACACACACACACAAAGAGGTGCTTCATGTCTTGCACTGCTGGTGTGATTTTATGCTGTGATATGTGCCGTTCAATAGGCTGTTTTGCTATGTTGAAACAGTCTGCCTCGACCATGAATGAGACGCATCTGAAATTTTATCGCACATTGGGTAGAGTGGGCAGCATATAAGTTAAATAAATAAATAACTAGGCTCCAGTCTAAAGGTGCCACAGCTTAACTCGTGTGCAATCCAAGCCACTTTGTCAGAGATCAGGACCATGGAAAGCTCATTTAGAAGCAGCGGGCAAAATCAGATGATAAACAACTCTTTATAGCTGCAGAGGTAACATCCAGATAGTGGCTGAACTCTACTAGAACATTGCAATAAGACCCTCTGGGTCAACAAAACCTATGGAGGAGTTGACTCACCAGATCCCCACTGATTCAATGGGCCTACTCTAGCGTGACTTGGTTTTTCCAGTAGTGATGTATGGAAGTGAGAGCTGGACCATAAAGAAGACTGACCACCAAAGAATTGGTGCTTTTGAATTGTGGTGCTGGAGGAGACGCTTGAGAGTCCCCTGGACTGCAAGTAGATCAAACCTATCCATTTTGAAGGAAACCAAGCCTGAGTGCTCCCTGGAAGGACAGATCCTGAAGCTGAGGCTCTAATACTTTGGCCACCTCATGAGAAGAGAAGACTCCATGGAAAAGACCCTGATGTTAGGAAAGTGTGAAGGCAAGAGGAGAAGGGGACGACAGAGGACGAGATGGCTGGACAGTGTCATCGAAGCGACCAACATGAATTTGACCCAACTCCGGGAGGCAGGGGAAGACGGGAGGGCTGGTGTGCTCTGGTCTATGCGGTCACGAAGAGTCAGACATGACTTAAAACAACAACAACAAAAGTGTGACTTACTTCTAGATTTCAGCCCATGTTTTCCAAGACAGAAATCATGAAAAATCAAACTCAGATTTCCTAGAGAAGCTCCCCAAGTCGAGGGACATAGCTTTTAGTTTCCATTACTGCCATTTTCATATTTTTAAAAGCTCAGTTTCTTTTTACCTCAAATATAAAGACCTCTGTAAATTTAGACCAGTCCCTGCCAAATAGGAGTAAGAATGAAGCCCCACCCATCCTGAACCACCCCTATCTCCAGGCACCAGGATATTCAGGATCAAAACAAAATTAATTAACTTTCCAGTGAGACTAATTGGCTAAAATAGGGGCCATTCTCAAAAATGAATCATTAAACAGGAACCAGCTCGGACCCAAGGATTAAGGCTTGGGTCCAAACTATCTCAAGGACCGCATCTTCCTTTAACAACCTGCTTTGGTGTTAAGACCACCAAGATGTGTTTGGTCGGGGACACAGGAGGGAGCCTTCTCTGTGGCTGCTCCCAGACTTTGGAACTCCCTCCCACAAGAAACCAGGCTGGCCCCATCTTTGCTGTCCTTCAGCAAGCAGGCAAAGACTTTTCTCATCAGGCCAGCTTTCCCTGAATAAGTGGGTTTTTTTAAATGGGTAGTTGCACCTCATGACTTGGACCGTGTTTTGGTGCTGCTTTTTATGTGCTATTTTTATTGTGGTGCTTGTTTGATTCTTTTAGTACTTGTATACTTACTGTTGTTAGCTTATCGCAGCTCTCCTCTCTGGGAGCTTGCCAATTAGCTAGCATCACTTGGCAAATGGAATTCAGGACTCTTCTGAAAGAGCAGAGGACACTCGCCATCACTTTCTCAAATGCAAACGTGCTTTTGTAGCTCTGATGACTCGTTATCAATGTCGCTTGTTAATCCTTACATCGAGGGATCTGTCTTCAAATTCTCATCCTTCACAGCTTGACTTTTCAGCCACCCCTGCTTTGCAGTCACCCTTCTCAAACGGTGGCCCGGAAGCTAAAATAGGCCAGCGCTCCTGAAGATTCCCTGGAGCAACTTATAAGAAATGTGAAATCTATAAGAAGGCCTTTTGGGCTTCAGGGGGCATTCCCTTAACATCTCCCCAGTCTCCTTCCTGGTAGATTCACTTTGGTTTTTAGGAATTGTGCGTCCGTTGTTGGACTGTTCTAATTTGCTGGTTGCATTTATTTTTCCTGGGTTTGGTGAGAGGGGAGAAGACGAATCCCTGGGTGCTGCTTGTTTTCACCGTTTTCCCCATGCTTTTTATTGCAACCTGCTTTGAACTTTTTCTTGTCGTCTTCTAGAAAAGGAAGTAGGTCTCTGGCTGCGGAGCCAAAGGCTGCGAGTTCAATACCCCGCTGTGCTTCCTTGAGAGGGGCTGGACTTGATGATCCAGAGGGTCCCTTCCAGCTCTGCAGTAC